CAGGTCTCATCTCTCCCTTGTTGTGGCTTACCAGGTAAGTCAGGCCAGCCTGGTCATTTGCAATAAAGTGCACATCGCTGTACTCGCCTCGAGACGGTGAACTCAAAACTATCTTCAAAATTTGCGGAACGATTCTCTGAGCGGAGTTATGGAGGTTTTTCTTTACTGTTTTTCCTTCCAGGCGCGCTGGCGCCGAAGCGTTGGCACCTGCAGCGCGACACAACGCTCTATGAGCAAAGCAAATACCATACTCGTGTTCAAGGAGTCAGATAACCTCTGTCAACGGCACTGTAGCGAAATCTTAGGTTCTGACTAAACTTCGAAAAAATGTTAGGTTAGTCATGGTGTCATGGCTGACTGGTAGCCAACAGCGATACTACGACTAGCCTAGTGGTGATAACTGGTCTTCGAACTGAAATAACCCTTCAGTCATGTCTTTTCGCAAAGAACAATACCTGGCTCACTTGTTCGTGCCGTCTGCATCATTTTCCTGATTATCGGGAGGAAATTCCATCCCGAGACCAGTCATCGATGGTAGGTGAGCTCCAGTCTGCTGCTAATTACCCATAGAATAGCCCACATTTTCCAAGTTAGGTCGAAATATCAGATTTGGCTAGAAACTTGCCCCAGAGGTAGTCAGACTCGCCCCTTTTGACATGTGTTACGAGGGGACAAGCACAAGCACTCTTTCAGGCCATAATGGGTCTACACTTTTAAAAAAAACTGATCGCAGTTTCCTTACAGGATAGTGCAGGCGAGCAGAGATGTTAGAAGCTTTGTCGGCCATGTTCTTGAAAAATGCAGTGTGAGCGAGCTCATGGGAACCTTCTCCACGGCCTCCCACCGGAGAAGCCCGCTCGCCTTCTGTTGCTCCTTACTGCCAGGTTTCTCTCTCCACATGTATGTAAGGAAGCTTACGCATTACCTCGCGGTAGCATGTGAAACAACCGCGCGGGAATAAAACCTCCCTCGAATCCGTTCAAGGGATTTTCCGCAAATTTTGAAGGTAGATTCGAGTTCATTGTCTCAAGATGCGTACAGCGGTATGCACCTCATCGGAAATGGCCTGGCTAACCTATTGACCTTCCTGGTTAGCGCTTTTTTATTTCTTGTATCTGGGGTACTTTTTCCTGGGCTCCGGGCTGTCTTACAACTGATTTATGAGTTTGATCGTTATCACCGCCCGCTTATGGCGCATGCCGGGCCTATTGGGCGGAGCTCGACATGGGTCATAGGTGCTTTGTGAACCTTGTCCAGCGTACACCTAAGCCGGACTCTCCAAGGGACTTTCCACGCCAAACCAAATCGAGCAAATATTATGGAGTAGGATATCACTCGATTCTCTCTGCAAATCTACCCGTAAATATCCGAAGGCTGTGATAATTTCTTCTACTAGTAGTTTTTGGATGTACAGTCGTTTTCGCTGAAGACGCTACAGCGTGTCAGACAGCTGGGTTTGGCACGGCGCCACACGTTGTTCACCAACTGTTGAAGCAGGCGGGCGTCAACACGCCGCAGCCAGGGCACGCCATCGTTGTGATGATCACAAGGGGGGATCGTATTTGATCGCGAGGGAGGGGGGTCGTATTTGGTCTGAGAAAATTTTTTTTGATAGTTGATTTCTCTTGTTTCACGGACGCTATAAAGGGGGGGGGGTCGTATTTGGTCGTTTGGAGAGGGACTGCCAAAGATCTTTGCAATTACTATTTCCGATAGTTGAAAATGATAGTTAAATCCTGACGACCTTCCCCCCCCACCCGACCGATGGAAAATTCCGCAGCGCTGCCACGTTGAGTGGATTGGGTCCTTATGTGGATGCTGCTCACTTCGCTTGCAACGCCTCCTTACCGCGAAGTAACACTGCGCAGCCGGAATATGTAGCGCCTCCTTCAGGAATGACGGAATACTAGTGACGTATTCATGAGAAGACTACAATAACGAAGAGATGCCTTGGTTACTAAGGGCAACATTGAAACAACAAAAGACATCAGGGGCGGCGAGATATTCATGAGAGAGACCACAGGTCACAGCTTATTCAAACTATCGCTATCTCAACAATTACTACAGCCCTTCTCTAGACATTAAGAGCTCCTGATTCTCATTGAATCCTTCTAGCTTTGATTTCTTCACTCACATTCCTTGTAACGTTGGGGACAAAGGTATGATGGGCTTTTACCATGGGTACGGTGTGAGAAACGGTTTTCTCAGCCGAGCGGGCTTCCGACTAGTATTTGTATCGGTATTACCAGTCCGGCCCATCTGCTGGAAACCATGCCAGCGTACACCACCGGGATGAGAGAAATTACAGTTTGAGACCCCTCCCCCACCTGTTCGTCTAAGCCGACACCTCCTTCACCATCTTGCCTACATCGGAGTATGGTGCTGTCCCGGAGTCTCATTTCTTATCTGAGTGTGTAACAACAATGTGAAACTCCAAAAGTTTATCCCAAAAAACTCAAAAG